GCCTATATCTACTGTTTGAATACTAAAATACGTTCAACAATGCTATGTTAAGTGGTTTTGAACTATATCCTCGTTGGGTGCCCCTGAAAACAAGAGACTGCTCGCACTCTATGCTTAAAGCAAAATAATGGCTTAGGGGAGGGGTAGGTGGGCGAAATTGCGAATGTTTGATGAAATAAAGAATTTCCCTGTTTATTCTTTCCTTTTCTACGCGATAGATGTGTCACCCACAGGGATCCCAGACTGTGAAATAAGTGCACAGAAATGTCAACCTCCTTTGGAGATAAAAACCCTTACAGTAACGCCGAAAGACTCCAAAGTGACTTTGAACTGCTCGATTAAGACTGGGGGAAAAGTACAAGACATGACCTGGCAGGACCTTGAAAAACACCTCAATGCCAGTGACGCCGGTCTGTTCGTACAACACATCGATTCAAAGAATAGAAGTCAGCCACGTGAATGTTTTTCTATAAAATACGCCAGTGAGTATGTTCTTCTTTTGCCCTGTCTGTATTAAATTGATGGGAAGAAAAATGTCATAATGCGCCCATCAGTTTTTTTGTGTGTCTATTTTTTAAATGGATTATAACGCATCCTATGAATGCCTCGTAAAAGGTTTAGGCAGATTCAAGCTCAGCTGAGGCAATTTTTACGGTTGGATTGATCGTAAAAACGGTTGAAGTTATAGCCAGCTAAATTACCTCACTTGAGCATGGTTCACCACTGAACTCTAGTTGCTCGTGCCATGCTAGAGGGCAAGCAAAGCAAAGGAACATGACAAACAGCAAACAAAGGAATCATTTTAAATGACGTTAGCTTTTTGTTTGGCTTGACTCAGTGCGTAGGACCTCGCTCTCCAGCATGGCAGGTTTGTGCCACAAACGTGACTTACTGCAAAGGGCCTATTTAAAATGAACAAGGCATGGCATGGAGTAAAACATGGTTGGTTGGAAGGTGTCGGTAAGAGAGATGACTGTAGTTATCTTAAAAATCGTGAGCTAAGCAACGACGACGACAGCAGTGAAAATGTCGCTAAAAAATTAAATCTGCCTCATTTCAAATGTTATCGCGTCTATTTGGAGCTGCTAAATTTGAAGAATTTGTCAAATGTAGACGATTTCTCTTGGAGGTGAATTCTTAAGGACTTTATCCAGATTCAGAAAGAAAAAGGAGAATTTGTCGTTGTATGTTCACTTTCTCTATAAAACGTCGTATTCCTTGATTAGGAGGTTTCACTTCATAGTCGTGCATTCAAAGTCAAAGAAATGTACGAAGAAGCTTGACGCACGTGCAGCAACTGATGTTTTCATGTTAAAACCAATTGTTTTTAGACGATGTCGTCGTGGTGGTTCAGATTTTCACATTTCAGATTTTGATTTTTTTTTTGCACTAATTCAAGAGGTTGCTATAAAAATTACAAATATATTATAAAAGCAAGAAGAAGAAGACCAGCAAATTACATATATAAATCCTGATCAAAGGTGAAATGTGCGCAGTGGCCAAAGGAGCTTAGGTTTTCGAGTTGGTCACTTAAGCTCCCTAGTTTAAATGACTGGGTGCATGACTTATGAGCTTTGAAAGTAAGACAAAGAATTCCTTCTCAGTTCCAGTTAAGAGAGTGTTTAAAACAAGTTCTCCCGTTTCCTTCAATCCTGACACAAAACAAGTCGAACTGAAGTGTACCTTCGAGGGATGGCCTCGTCCTCGTGTAGTTTGGTCCAATCTAAATAACAAACAAATCATCAACGGATCTGAAGGTTTTTACATCTCAGAGCAGCTGGTTGGAGAGAATACCTTAGCTTCCCATCTCCGTAATCCTGATATCCAAGAAAAACAAGCAGGGGCTTATAAATGCACTGGAATGAACAACATTACCGGCTGGTCGACTGAAAAATCAGGGATAACTGACCTGAATCATTACTGTGAGTCACTTTGAAAATTTCTTATTTCTTCGTGTACACACGGATGCACAAAACCACCTTAATTAAAAGTACCTCCTTTGAATCAGGTTCATAAAAAGGTATTGCCGTGTTTGCCCTGTAAGCAATGGAAAGTATTCCATTTAGCCAAGAGGGACAGCTCATTCTCTCTTGAATTAGACGGAATTAAATATTGGGTGCTTCATGTTTTAAATAACAGATTAAGTTATTCCCAGCTGAATTTAAAAGAATATAACTGAAAATTTCGTTCCACCTTCCTCCTCCATTCAGAGAAATTGGACTCTGGAATTCTTATTTGTTTACCCCTCGTTCAAGGGATAAGTAAATAAGTAAATAAATAAATAAACAACGATTTAGTGGCATAAGCTCATCCCCAAAGTGGTTCTTTGCCTACCATT